CAATTACAGGCCTCTCTCATCTTTTTAAGTGGGAGAACTTGCACAGTTGGTGACTGACTAAATACTTATTTTCCCCACTGTATGTGATTGGACACTCAAAAAATTGGCTTCATACAGACAATGAAGTCTGAAAACAATGCAGCTGTGCAGAAGAGGGAAAAATCACAATGAGAAACGTAAAATGTCTAATATGTCAGAGGTTTTCCACCGTTTAAAAAGCAAAGCAGAAAATCGCTCACTGTTTATTGTTGTGCACACATCTTTCTTCACCACACTTACGAGACGTCTCGATCAGATAACCTCCTGATGTCTGAAATCCTTTTGTTCTTTTGAGAAATGGGTCATTACCTGATTTATAGGTGTGCGGTGAATTGGCCCTCTCCGAGGTCACGTGGCTCCAAAACAAAGGGGGCCAGTGTTTCCATCTTCATCACACTTATCTCACCGAGCTGAAAAACAAAACTGTTGTTGAGAGTGTGAAGATAAGAAGAGGGGATGATTAAACCCCTCCTCATCTATTGGCTGCTAGTGAAGGTTGTGGCTTACATCATGACCGTATATTTGAATATAAAGGTCCTGATGGGTCCGTTTGGCTGTAAGGATGTGGATGCTCCTGATTTTGTGTGGCCTGTTGGGGGCATTGGGGTCAAAGGAAGCCCCCACCGGTGACCTCCATCAGCTTCAGACCCTTCACTGCCCACCCTGCGAGCGGATCCACTGCTCGTCCAGGAGGGCCCTGAGGCTCCAGTGTAAAGGCGGCGTGACAACAGGTGTGTGTGGCTGCTGCCCCGTGTGCGCCAGGACGGAGGGGGAGACCTGTGGGGGCACTTGGGACTACCTGGGGAAGTGCGACGAGGGGCTGCTGTGTGTTTATCAGGAGCCAGACACAGACGGACCAGAAGCAGAGAGAAAAAGGACCTGTAAGACCGGTGAGATTTATTTATACAAACAGGCTCAGATTTTGTTTTATCACAGTGGGGATAATGTCTGAAAACACTTAAAATGGAAACATTAAGCGAATATTAATATATAAAATGTGCTAAATTATGATAATTCTGTGTTTCTCAATGATTTAAAGCTATGAAACGAATTTTATGCACATTTTTAAATAGGTTAATAAGAAGCTATGAAAAGAAATATACACGTAGCACAGAAATTAAGGTTATTTGTGTTTGTTAGATTATTTCTTTGTTATAACGATGCTTAGTGGCAATAAGTTCTATGATTGACACCTGACTGGCAGCGTCAGGTACCAGAAGCTCAAAACAAGTGTCAATAATAACAACAAAATAAGCTGTTCTGCAGAGAAGATTTGGCTATTTTTTTGTGTGAGCAACCCACATACTCAGTTCTACTGCTCGTCCATAGATCCTTACAAATGTGGCACCATTTAAAAGAGAATTTAACAGGCTTTCCAACAGTATAAGAATTATTGCAAAGACGCATTGTTACAACAGAGAAACAATCTACTAAACACATATT